TTTTTTTTTTTTTTGAGATGGAATCTCGCTCGGTCACCCAGGCTGGAGTGCAGTGGTGCAATCTCGGCTCACTGCAACCTCTACCTTCCAGTTCAAGTGACTTTCCTGCCTCAGCCTCCAGAGTAGCTGGGACTGCAGGTATGTGCCAACGCACCCGGCTAATTTTTGAATTTTTAATAGAAATGGGGTTTCACCGGCTGGGCACGGTGGCTCAAGCCTGTAATCCCAGCACTTTGGGAGGCCGAGGTGGGTGGATCACGAGGTCAAGAGATCAAGACCATCCTGGTCAACATGGTGAAACCGTCTCTACTAAAAAATACAAAAAAAAATTAGCTGGGCATGGTGGTGCATGCCTGTAATCCCAGCTACTCAGGAGGCTGAGGCAGGAGAATTGCCTGAACCCAGGAGGCGAAGGTTGCGGTGAGCCGAGATCGCGCCATTGCACTCCAGCCTGGGTAACATGAGTGAAACTCCGTCTCAAAAAAAAAAAAAAATGAGAGCCAAACAAAAAAAAAAAAAAAAGAGGGAAAAAAAAAAAAAAAAAAGAAATGGGGTTTCACCACATTGGCCAAGCTGATCTTGAACTCCTGACCTCATGATCCGCCCGCCTTGGCCTCCCGGGCCACGGCATGTCCACCTCAGTACCCTGAAGACACAGTGCTGAGGCTGCAGCGTTGCTCAAGACGGCGTTGCTGAAAGAAACCACTGTCGAGGGCGCCGACAGCACTGTGGCGAGGAAGGTGGCTGGTGGACGCTGCCCGCAGGAGGGCGGCATCTGGGTGAAGGAGGTGGTGAAGATGCCAGTGGCTTTAGCACAGGCAGAACAGAAGCCCACTGAGGATCCCAGAAAGTGCCTCCCCAAATCCACAAGTTCTCTGGAGGGTCCTGGCACATTAAGGGGTCATCCTGTTTTTCCCTGGACCAGAGGAAGGGTCTGTCCCCAAAGGAGGGCAGGTGGCAGCTCACCTGGTCCATCCCATAGTCCAAGGTCATGGTCACCAGGTGCTTCATTTCACTGTCCTCCTTCACGTTCTTCAGCTCGATCAGCAGGTGGTGCCACTCCCCGTCGGTCACACGCAACCCGGACAGCACCATGGACTCCACGCCGGAGGGCCCGTGGGACACCTCGAACTGGAGGTGGCTGTTGAGGATCTGGGGCAGGGAGAGCCGCACCAACCGATTGGTACGACAGCAAGGAAGAGGTGACGCTGTGCAGTCGCTCAAACGAGGACGCTGTCAAAGTCGACTTGTGATGTGGCGCCGCATCAAAGAGGGGCTTAAGAATTAGGCAAAGCTTGGCCGGGCGCGGTGGCTCAAGCCTGTAATCCCAGCACTTTGGGAGGCCGAGGTGGGCAGATCACGAGGTCAAGAGATCGAGGCCATCCTGGTCAACACGGTGAAACCCCGTCTCTACTAAAGCTACAAAAAGAAATTAGCTGGGCATGGTGGTGCGTGCCTGTAATCCCAGCTACTCAGGAGGCTGAGGCAGGAGAATTGCCTGAACCCAGGAGACGGAGGTTGCGGTGAGCCGAGATCGCGCCATTGCATTCCAGCCGGGGTAACAAGAGCGAAACTCCGTCTCAAAAAAAAAAAAAAAAAGAATTTGGCAAAGCTGGCCGGGGGCGCAACTCAGGCCTGTAATCCCAGCACTTGGGAGGCCCAGGCGGGTGGATCACCTGAGGTCAGGAGTCTGTGACCAGCTTGGCCAGCACGGTGAAACCCCGTCTTTACTGAAAATACAAATATCATCCAGGCACGATGGTGGGTACCTCAGAGGCTGAGGCAGACGAACCGCTTGAACCCAGGAGGTGGTGGAGGTTGCAGTGTGGTGAAATCACACCACTGCACTCCAGCCCGGGTGACAGAACAAGATTCAGTCTCCCAAAATAAATAAATAAATAAATTAGGCAAAGTTGGCTGGGTGTGGTGGCTCAGGCGTGTCACCCCAGCACATTAGGAGGCCAAGGCAGGCAGAGTTCGAGACCAGCCTGGCCGACATGGTGAAACCCCGTCTCTACTAAAAATATAAAAATTAGCTGACATGGTGGCGGGTGCCTGTAATCCCAGCTACTTGGAAGGCTAAGGCAGGAGGATCGCTTGAATCCGGGAGGCAGAGGTTGTAGTGAGCCGAGATTCCGCCACTACACTCCAGCCTGGGCAACAAGAGCAAGACTCTGTCTCAAAAAACAAAAACAATAATGATTAGGCAAGTTGGCTACACGTAGTGGCTCACACTTGTAATCTCCGCACTTTGGGAAGCCAAGGCAGGCAATACGTACTGCTTGAGGCCAGGAGTTCGAGACCAGCCTGGCAAACATGGCAAAACCTCGTGTCTACTAAAAATACAAAAATTAGCTGGGTACGGTGGTACGTGCTTGCAATCCCAGCTACCTGGGAGGCTGAGGCGGGAGGACCGCTCAAGCCCAGGAGGCGGAGGTTGCAGTGAGCTGAGATCATGCCACCGCATTCCAGCTTAGGTGACAGAGCGAGGCCTTGTCTCAAAAAAAAAAAAAAAAAAAAAAAAAAAAAGAGTAGGAAAAGTTGTTCTTTGTTGCTGTTGCCGTTAACACTCATCAGAACTGCACGTCTCATTCCCTGGGGAAAAGCATCTATTGCTGCATGGAGGTCAAGTAAGGGAAGGGCCAAAAACAAGACCCGTTAGGCTTTTAAGTACTGGGAACCAGCTCGATTCAGGTGACTATTTGGCTGTTATTTTAAGATGTAAATGTTATACTTTGTAAGACAAGATTTATCCTTGTTTAATTACCTGCATGAAAAAACAAAACCCAGCACTGCAACTGGCCTAAGACGCTGGTATTTTAAAATAAGGCAGCCAAGGACAGCGTCAACATCTTAGCTCCCCTAAGGAAGGACTTGGAACTTTTGGCAATTTTGGCTAACTCTCCCTTGAAAACACCTACAAAAATGAGACAGAATATTAAGGAACATCTGTTTGAAGGCACTGGAGTAGCACAAGGCAAAACAGAGTTTCAGCGTCATGACCAAGGATAAGACAGAATCTTCGAAACAGAAGGTGGTGGTTGTTTCCTTACACGGCTGTCAGCTGGTTCCAGAAGACAGCGGAGGCTGAGCGTGCAGTTAGGTCATGGCTGCCAGGTACCTGAAGCCCTTGCCCTCCTTGGCAGTCTTCAGCCCTGTCGGCAGGTGCCATGCCCCACTCATCACCTCTGACCTGGAGAGTCTCAGGGTGCCTCAAAGCTTTCTTGATTCATGGGGCTGGACCGGGCACGGTGGCTCATGCCTATAATCCGAACACTTTGGAAGACCGAAGTGGGCAGATCACGAGGTCAAGAGATCGAGATCAGCCTGACCAACATGGTGAAACCCCATCTCTAGTAAAAATACAAAAATTAGCTGGACGTGGTGGCAGGCACTTGTAGTCCCAAGCTACTTGGGAAGCTCCTGGGAGGTAAAGGTTGCAGTGAGCTGAGATCACACCACCGCAGTCTAGCCTGGTGACAGAGCGAGACTCAATCTTAAAAAAAAAAACCTGGGGTTCATGGACTGCCAAGGGGTTGTTCCTCGGCTTTTGGTTGGGACCCTGAGGGGTTTACACTAACAGTAAAAATGAAAAAGATCCACCCTGTAGGACTGGAAGCCCAGCTTTGAAACACCACAGCCTGTGGCTGCACTGAAGCCCGTGACCGCACTGAAGCCTGTGGCTGCACTGAGACTGCACTGAAGTCTGTGGCTGCATTAAAGTGCTCCGGTATGGCAACTGCTCCTACGTAGTGGCGGCCAGCAGCAAACACAGAAGATAATGACGTCCCCATTCCAGTTTCTTTTTCTTTTTTCTTTTTATTTGAGACGGAGTTTTGCTCTTGTTGCCCAGGCTAGAGTGCAGCGGTACAATCTCAGCTCACTGTAAACTCCGCCTCCAGGGTTCAAGTGATTCTCCTGCCTCAGCCTCCCAAGTAGCTGGGATTACAGGCACCCACCACGCCTGCCTGGCTAATTTTTTGTATTTTTAGTAGAGATAGGGTTTCTCCACGTTGGCCAGGCTGGTCTCGAACTCCCGACCTTGGGTGATCTACCCGCCCTCAGCCTTCCAAAGTGCTGGGATTACAGGCATGAGTCACCACACCTGGCCCTCATTCTAGTTTCAAATGTTCTCTAGTTTTTCAGTACAATGTCTAGCACTCAATAAAAAATAGCCAAGGATATAAGGACACAAGGTACTATGCTTGAAAACCAACAGAAGCAAGGAAGAGTGGCAACAGAACATAGAATCATCAGACACAGACTCAAAAGTAACACTGGGAACCACAAAACTTCCAAGGAAACAGACTCCATGTGACCATTAAACTTACTTCTGGGTGTAGGTGTTACAGAGGTAAGGGTCAAACTGTCATGTTTAAATATATATAAGAATAATCAGAAAACAAGACTGTAACTAACCCAAGATGCTCATATCTAAAGATAGCTTCAATTAAAAAGTAGCCTAGATTTTAGAAAAACAACTATTAGCACACTGCTTATATCACACCTGAAATATAAGGATACAGAAAATGCTGAAAGCAAAAGGATAGAAAAAAAAATACATCATATAAATATCAAACAAAAGAAAACTGGGATAGCTATGTTAACATGAGACACAGCAGACTTAAGGCAAAAAATCCTTATTAGAGATAAAGAGGAATTTCATAATGATAAGGCAATTTGCTGGGAAGATGAATCAACTCTAAATTTGTATGTACCTAATAACCTGGCCTCAAAATCTATAAAGCAAAAATCAAGATTACCAAGAGAAGTAACTGATAAATCTGCAGTCAACGTAGGAGATTTTTACTTCTCTCAGTGAGAAGACAAAAAAAAAATCCCTTAAAACCAATAATGACACAGAATATTTGAATACCACAGTTAACAAACTTTACCTACTTGCCGTATAGAGGACACTATGCACAACAACTGCAGAGCACATAGTGACACGTGTGCATGTGTCCAAAACTGACTAGAGGCCGGGCGCAGCGGCTCACGACTCTAATCCCAGCACTTGGAGAGGTGGAGGAGGACGGATCACCTGAGGTCAGGAGTTCAAGATCAGCCTGGCCTACACAGTGAAACTCCGTGTCTACTAAAAATACAGACATTAGCTGGACGGGGTGGTGCGCACCTGTAATCCCAGCTACTCAGGAGGCTGAGGCAAAAGAATCACTAGAACCCAGGAGGTGGAGGCTACAATGAGCTGAGATCACATCACTGCACTCCAGCCTGAGTGATAGAGTGGGATTCCATATGGAAAGAAGGAAAGAAAAGAAAGAAAGAAGGAAAGAAGGAAGGAAGGAAGGAAGGAGGGAGGGAGGGAAGGGAGAAGGAGGGAAGAAAAGGGAGGGAGGGAGGGAGGTAGGGAAAGGAGGAAAGGAAGGAACCCTGACTAGATCCGGGCTAAAAAGCAAGTCTCAACACATTTCAAAGCTCTGAAACCACATGGTATATGATCTTTGACCTGCAATCATGCTACAAACACTACCAAAATGATTTACTAGAAAATGCTACATGAGGCTGGGCGCGGAGGCTCACGCCTGAATCCCAGAACTTTCGGAGACCGAGACGGGCCAATCACCTGAGGTCAGGAGTTGGAGACCAGCCTGGCCAACATGGCAAAACCTCATCTCTATCAAAATTATAAAAATTAGCCGGGTGTGGCGGCACACACCTGCAATCCCAGCTACTTTGGAGGCTTAGGTAGGAGAATCGCTCGAGCCTGTGAGTCAGAGGTCGCAGTGAGCCAAGATCACACCACTGCACTTCAGCCTGGGAGACAAAGCAAGGTTCCCTTCTCAGAAAAAAAAAAAAAGAAAAAAAAAAAAGGAAAGAACATGCTGCATGCTTAATTTAGAAATCCACTTCTAAATGCCACGTCAGTCTAAGATAAATTCATAATAGAAAACAGGATACAGGTTTTAACTGGTTATAAAGGTTATGTAACTAAAACTGTTTTTTGTTTTTTGATCTCTATTGATAGTTTGAGGGTTTTTTGAGCTGAAAAAAAAAACAAAAACAAAAACAATAATTAGCCAGACACCCTGCTAATTTTTGTATTTTTAGTAGAAATGAGGTTTCTCCATGATGGCCAGGCTGGTCTTAAACTCCCGACCTCAGGTGAGTCACCTGCCTTTGCCTCCCAAAGTGGTAGGATTATATGCATGAGCCACTTTACTCAGCCTGATAGTTATTTTAATTTTTCTCCTTTTTCCACTTTGTTTTCTTTCTTCTTTTCTGAGACAGAGTTTCGCTCTTGTCGCCCAGGCTGCAGTGCAGTGGTATGACCTCAGCTCACTGCAACCTCTGCCTCCGGGTTCAAGCGATTCTTCTGCCTCAGCCTCCTGAGTAGCTGGGATTACAGGTGTACGCCACCACACCCGGCTAATTTTTGTATTTTTAGTAGAGACGGGGTTTCCCCATCGCAGCCAGGCTGGTCTCAAACTCCTGACCTCGGGTGATCCGCCCACCTTGGCCTCCCAAAGTGCTGGGGTTACAGGCATGAGCCACTGTGCCCAGCCTCCATTTTGCTTTCTTTTGTTCTACAGAAGTTAGCTTATTAATTTCCTCTGTCATTGTCTTTCATTGTTCTTGCTTTAAAAACTCCAAAGTGAGCAGATCAGCAATAAAAGTGACATTATGTCTATAAACAAAGGTGGTATCCACAGAATGATGCTGTTTTATGGGTGGTAACTGCCTCCAACTTAGGAGTGTCCCTGGATCTCAGTCAGAGAGGCATTCAGCAATCGCACGGCTATCCCACCTGACAAGGTGGGTGGATTTTGGGTGCCTGAGGGCAATTACCCAAAGTACTTGGGCTGTAGGGTGACAATGGAGCCTCATTTGTCCCCCCCGCAGTGGCAGGGGCTCGGGAGACATCCTTTCAGGAACACCCAGACTGCTGCCTGACAGAGCTCACAGGCCCGTGGGAGGCTGCAAGCTGGTGATGCAAAGGAGGAATTCCCAGAACCTCGTGTAACTCATGGCTGACCTGCCTCTGGGAGTGCCCTGGGGGCCTTCTGGGTGTCCACTGGGGTCTGCAGCATCCCCTCAAGGCCACCACTCCTGCCACCCAGACTTCCACCAGGAGGGCTGGGTGTAGTCTCTGGCAAAATTCCTAATTTTTAGATGAGCTCTCCATGATGTAATTACACAAACAGCACAGGGGTGGGTGGCTTCCAGCGCCGTTCCTACTCAAAGCGCACTTTTTTCCTACAGAGACCCCACTGACAACTGACAATGTGCAAGCTCCAATTCGTCACCTGCATCCAAACAGCCAATTTAATCTGTTCTGACAGTGAAACCACCACACAGAAAATACCATCCCCGGGCAGCAACGCCCTTGCCAAGTTTGGGGCCAGAGCGAGTTTCTGGGGCTGCCTGGGAGACGCATGAAATTACAAGTTTAACAAGGGCCTACAGGCCAGCTGTCATCATCCCTGAGACACACCACACCTTCCAGGCAATCCGAGCGGTTTGTGCCGGTTAATGTTCCTAAGCTGTGACTGGGGAGTAGCAGGAGGCTGCTCCTGTGGAGCAGCCTGAGCCCTGCCCCAGCCCCAAACTGTCTCCTGAGCCCTCACTGACTGCTGAGGGACTGACCTCTACCAGCCGCTGGGAGCGCTCTCGGTCCTGTCCCCGCCACGCTCCAACCAGGCACCCACAGCAGGGAGGGCGTGTGCTGGCAGCCCCTCTGTCCTCCCGCCAACCTGCGTGTCAATTCCGGCTACACAGAACTGTTTCTAGATGGGCTGTCCACAGGAGTGACAGAGAGGGGCCGGTGGCCGCCCCAGGAATCTGGCAGTGAATGAACCATGGGGCCCACAGTGAAGAGCCTCTATGCCTCAGTTTCCCCTCTGTGGAACGAGAACATGGAGCAGGCACTCCGTAACATCCATCTTGCCTCTGACCATCTCTGACTCCGGCCCAGCCTCCCCTGATGGGGGATGGCGTTCAGGACACGCTGGGCAGCATAAGAAGGCCCAGAGCCCAAGGGAGCAAATGCATCAGGGTTTAGTTCTGCACGGCACGCAGCTGACAGCAGAGGACACGCAGCTGGCCCAGACCCCGCTCTGGGACTTCCCAACCATGAGAGCTTGCCGGGGGGTCATTCCGGGAGGACAAGGTGAGTGTTCCCGTGTGGCCCACCCAAGGCAGGAGAGGAGGCTGACCTAAGGGCAGCATCTCTGTGTGCTGAAGGGAGGGCGGGACAGAGTCCCAGGCGCACTCTGGTTGGAGATAATGAACAGCCAAAAGGAAGTCAGTGCTGCTCTGAGACCGTGTGCACCCATATATACACGTGCATGCACGTGCATACATACACAGCCACGTGTATACGTATACAGCTGCATACACATGCAGACATACGCAGCCACCTGGAACACAACCACCTGAATACATACACAGCCAGGTGCATACATGTACAGCTGCATACATGTGCAAACACAGCCATATGCATAGACACAGCCACATGCAGACACATACAGCCTCATGCACAGACATGTACAAATGTGCACACATGTAGAGACACACATGTACACACACTGACAGGTACACACACTTGCATAAAGATGTGTGGGTGCATGCACACACGTATACAGACTTGGAAAGAAGCCTAGGAGTTACGCCTATAATCCCAGCACTTTGGGAGTCTGAGGCAGGTGGATCACCTGAGGTCAGGGGTTCGAGACCAGCCTGGCCAACATGGCAAAACCCTGTCTCTACTAAACACACAAATAATTAGCTGGGTGTGGTGGCAAGCACCTGTAATCCCAGCTACTCTGGAGGCTGAGACAGGAGAATCTCTTGAACCCGGGAGGTGGTGGTTGCAGTGAGCTGAGGTTGTGCCACTGCACTCCAGCCTGGGCAACAAGAGCAAAACTCCATTTCCAAAAAAAAAAAAAAAAAGCCTAGGAGGAAGGAAGGAATCACCCCATTATGGAATCTGGGAATCTGTCAAACCAAGACGGGGCACGTGCTCCGGCATGACTCCACAGGCCACTCTGTGCCAAGGGAGGTGAGTTTGGTCTAAGGAGAAACATAAAGGATAAAGGGAGCTTTTCAGGAGGGAGAACTGCCCAGTGCATTTTCAGAGCTAGACTCTGGTCAGAAAGGGTCACAGCACCAGGTTTTACAGGAGAACGTCTGTGCCCCACCACCACTACAGACGGGAATGACCTGGAGATTCACAGGCAGCGGGCCAAGAGGGCAAGCCAAGGGCCGGGCGGCCTCCCGGGAAGGTCCCTGTGGCTGCCTTGTACGGCAGAGTCTCCAGGGTGTGACAGAAGGGCAGCCTGATGAGAGGAGACAGGGCTCATGACTGTTTCTCAAACCAAGTGTCTATGGAGCCTGGAAGGCGTGCGCAGAAACTGTGCGTACCACAAGAAACCAGAGGAGAGAGCGCATTCAGATCGCCTTCCACAAGTTGTTCACAACGTTTACCCAACAAATAAACTTTCGTTTCAAATAAATGAGAGTAAAGACCAACAAGACAGAGAAAACGTGCAGGTGGCCGCACAGCGCGGCTTCAGGCGCCTCTGGGCAGAGCCAAGCTCCCGGAGATAGCTGACGGCACATGGCTGCAACCAGCACCTGACCCCAGCTTTTTTCTTTTTTGAGACCGTCTTGGTCTTGCTGCCCAGGCTGGACTGCAATGGCACGTTCTCAGCTCACTGCAACCTCCACTTCCCTAGTTCAATCGATTCTCCTGCCTCAGCCTCCTGGGTAACTGGGATGACAGGTGTGAACCACCACGTCCAGCCTGCACCTGGCCACAGCGTTCACTGGTGAGGCCCGCTGTTTCTGCCCGAAGGCTCGGCACTCCCCTCAGCTCTGCAATGCCCACGCTCCAGCCAAACCCTCAGGCTAGAGGGAGACCGGAGCTGCCGTCTACGACGCACCTCGGCTGAGCTGTGCTGGGCCCTGGGGTCGGCCCGGCCCCACGCTGTCCCACTGTCTCCACCTCCCAGAGGAAAGAAAAGGCTCATGCTTCCCCACATCCTATTCCAAGAACCCAAAGAGGGGTGGGCGCAGGAGGAAGGGCAAGTAGCAGGGGCCTGAGTGTGCACCAGGAAGTCCAGCACCTGGGTCCCTCCCTTGGGCTCCCATCTAGCAGGTGCCCCGGTGGCACGGGGCCCCAGTCACCTGGAGACGAAAGCTAGTGGACCCGCCGCTGGTGGCTTCCATCAGAACGCTGTCCTCCTTCCGGGTCCGGAACATGAGCCCCAGGTACCAGGGCACAGAGATGATGACATTCAGGTCGCTCCAGGACACGATGCTCTCACCACTGAAGAGCTGCAGGTGGGGCATGGCTGCGGACACAGGCCCAGGACCTCAGGTGTGGCCGGAAATCACTTGGGCCACACACTCTTGGCTGCAGGGGCGGGGGCTGGGCCTGGGCCTTTTTCAGTTAACACCAGGGCCGGTCTGAGCCTCCCCTCTCTATGCATCCTGCCCTCACAGTCAGCCACGGGGGCTCCACAGAAGCCCCCTCTGGGACGTGAGCCTCCTTCCCAGGAAGTGTGAAGACCATCAGGCTCCCAGCTGCCGATGGGCGTGGCAAGGGGCTCTCAGGCTGGATGGGAGGCAGAGGTGGGGCGGGTTCAGGATCCCTGGGCTCAGTGGCTGGGGGTGCTGGGGCTGGGCCCTGCCAGCCCACCTTACCTGTCCTACCTCACACCTGTGGGACTGGGGACCACAGGGGCAGGAGCGGGGGTTCTGCGGAAGACAGTCTCTTGGTGAGGATAGTATGAGTCTGCAGTAAATGCAGCAGTGCTGCCAAAGGCTGCTGGCCCCTGATGTGAAGCCCCCTTACGGTGGTCCCGGGCACAACAAGGAGTGATGCCTCCCAGGCCACAGGGCCGGAGACAGGGATGGATGATGCCAGGCGCTCACCTTGCTCGCAGTTCTTCCCGCCGAATTGGAGCGGACACTCACACAGGTACATGTTCCACCTATTGACACAGGTGCCCCCGTTCTGACAGCGTCTCCCGTCACAGAAGTTCCTCCGGGCAGCACAGCCTGGCAACACAGAGCGTGCGGTGGAGCCTGACTTGGAGGAACCGCCAGGGTCCCCTGTGCCAGGCGTGGTGTGGGAAACCGGGACGGAACGGAAACGGGGCTGGACAGCAGGCAGGCCAGGTCTGAACGCCTCTGGCAGCGGCAGAAATGTGAGAACTGAGAAGGTGCTGAACACACCTTCTTGCGTGGCCCAAGTGCTTTCCCAAGTGCTGCCCACATTTGGAGATGCTAGGGCTCCAGGCCATCACAGCGCCTGGCCCAGTCACCTGGTGACACATGCAAGATCCCAGGACCATGTGTGCCTTTGGTTGGCTGGCTGGGCCAGCAGCGTCGCGGCAACTCCCAACTACAGAAACCTCAAACTGCAGAGACTGCGGGGCTGCACATCCGGTGAGCCTGGACTCTGGGGTCCACTCCCAGGAGCTGCCCGCAGCTGGGCACACACACTCCTAAGAACAAGACGCCTCCCCGGGGAGCTGCAAGCAGTGCCTTCTGTGTGGCTTCGACGTCCAGCCAGATGCCACTGCGGCAGTCCCGACCCTGGTGGCCGCCCGTACCTTCCCTGGTGCCATTGTTGGCGATGAATCCAGCCATGTCCACGTTTTTGCCGTCGACCGACAGGTTCCGCATGCAGCCCACGAACTGCCGGTTGTGCACCGGGAAGTCTTCCGGCAGGTTGGGGACGCCCCCCAGGAGCAGAGGGCCAGTCAGATCCAGGGACCTGGGGAGGTAAGGCCGTGCTCTGTGATGTCCGGGCGCAGGGGTGGCGAGGGGCGGCCATGGCGGGCTGGGCTCTGCAGTTGCCTCTGTGTAGCCTCTGCCACCAGGACTACTTCAAAAACCAAGCAGGCAGGCAAGCAGAGGCTGGAGCGAGGGGGGCTCCTGCATCTGGCGCTGCCGCTGGCTCCGCACGCCTCTGTGCCTCTGTTTCCTTGCACTTGCATTCAGCCCTGATGATCTGGGTGTTTCATGCTCACTGGTGACCACCAAGTCCTGCCCACCCAGGCTGGTCCACACCCAGATAGGATGTGAGCATGGGGACCACAGGTCAAGGTCAAGGACTCTACTTTGGCCTCTGAGATCTTCCAAGAAAAGGAATGGACTTGAAGGGAGGCCAGAAGAATATGAGAGCCCTGGTGAAATCCCAGGCAGCGGTGCGACCACGGCAAGGGCTGCGGCTTCTCCGGGGCACGCTTTACTCCTCAGCGAAAGGGCACCATCCCAGGTGGGTGGGATCAGACGAAACAGCAAGGGACTGCCCCCAGGGCCCTGGCAGGTGCTCAGGATGTGCCAAGGCTATCTATGTGATCTTCAAAAAGGCTATTCTGTGGTTATGTAGTGGCTTGTGCTTATAATCTCAGCACTTCAGGAGGCTGAGGCCAGAGAATTCCTTGAGCCCAGGAACTGGAGACCAGCCTCGGCAACAGAGGGAGACTTTGTCTCTACAAAAAATTTAAAAATTTTGCTGGGTGTAGTGGTGTGTGCCTGTGGTCCCAGCTACTCAGGAGGCTGTGGGGAGGAGGACAGCTTGAGCCCAGGAGGTCAAGGCTTCAGTGAGCTGGGATGGTGCCACCGCAGTCCAGCCTGGGCAACAGAGTGAGACCCCCATCTCAGGATAAAAACAAAAAATCAGCCTCTGGGACGAGCACTTAACAGAGTCCCGGAGTGCCAGGTACCAGAATTTGCAGGGACAAAGCCAGTGATCTGTGGAGACAGGGCCGGAGACCATCTCTGGGTCTACAAGCTGGCCACCACAACCCTGGGGTCGGCATGGCCACTCTTGACAGATACTCAGGGGACTTAGTCTAGAAGGTTCTAATATTTCAGAGGGAAGGTACCCCAACTGTGGAGAGGAAGTCTGACTCCAGCCTGGACTGAGGTCACCAGGGGACTGCACCCAGAGTGCCTGCACGGGGCCCTGCCCGGGGAAGGGCACAAAGGGGGCACGTTTGGGGGTGCAGACCCCCAGGGCCTCCCCTCCCGGGATGCTCACTTCTTGGAGCCAGTCTGAGTGCCCTGGGCGGCACAGCTGTAGTTTCCAATGTCATTTCCAAAGCGTACAGCCATGGTTGTGTCACAGTCATCCACCGTCACCACGGCCATCTTCTCCCCGGACGGCCCGTGGGGCAGGCCCAAGTGGCCGATGTTGGGCTGTCAGAAGAGAAAGCACAGAAGGCGTCAGCGTTTTCTCCGCCAGTGCCCTAGGCAGGTGCACCCGTCACTCATGGAGCAGGGAGGACACGGCACGGGGCGGGCAGCACGTGGACAAGGGACGAAGAGCCCGGCCTCGTTAATTCCCCAGACTGGCCGTGCTGGGCCACCCGGTGCCTCCTCAGGTTCAGCCTCCCAGAAACCTCAGAATGTGCCTCGTTTGGATAAAGAGCTGGTGCCGATGGAATTAATTAAGATGCGGATGCCCTGGAGTAGAAGGGCCCTGATCCCAGGTGACCAGCCTTCTCCTAAGAGGACAGATGCTGAGACACAAAGGCACGCAGGGAGAAGGCACGTGACCACGGAGGCGGCTGCTGGAGTGGCTGTCTACAAGCCAAGGGCCACCTGGGCCACCAACAGCTAGGAAAAGGCAGGAAGGGTCCTTTCCTTGAGCCTTCGGAGGTGGCACAGCCCTGTCCTTAGACTTCAGACTTCTGAGCGCCCGACTGGGAAAGGATAGTGTCTGTTGTCTGAGCCACCCTGTCCTTGGTACTTTGTGACGGTGGCCCCGGGAAATGAAGACAGCGGCTAACACCCAAGCCCTAGGGCCCCTCCTGTGAACACCTGCTTCCGCCCTTCTGGGGGTGTTCCTCCTGACCACAGCCCCTGCTCAGGCTCCTGCTCCCCGACCCTGTGCTCCTACAGTACAGATACCAGGAGGCTGCTGCCCGGCCTGCAGATGACCTCACATCTCCCCTCTGAGGTGTGGAGCTCTCTGTCTGGGCCAGGAGCCCATTCCAGGACTGGGTACAAGAGTTCTTCTGGAATCGGTGACCTCGGGTGAAACCTCTCCCTTCTTGAAGAGACTGTGGTTTGCCATCCAAGGATGAGCCCGCTTTCCCAGGCAGCCCTCACGGGTCTCGCCTCCTGGCCAGTCCCTCCCAGGACCTGGAGATTATCCACCCAGCCAGCCTCAGATGCCCTTCCAGCAGGAAAAGCAGTGCCAACCCCGCACGACTCATGCTGGCTACGGAACTTAAGCACATGGGTCTCAAAGTTCCAGAAACACAGTTGGAGCCAGCTCCCACTGGGACAGGTGACACAACGCCCTTCGTCTGCACAACCTGGATAACAAGACCTGCCTCCCGTGGGTGGCCATGACGATGAACCAGAGATCGCCAGGGAAGTGCCACCATGCCCACCATAGGCACACAATGTGCACCAGGGCCTCCCTTCCACCCCAGAGAGAGCCTTTTCTTCCGTCCCAGCAGGGCCCCCCCACCACCCGTATAAAGGATGGGTCCCATGACTCCTCTTGATAGTTCTGGGGTCAGTTTGAGTTTATAGCATGATGCAATCTCATGCTCCTTTCTCATACCTTGGAAATAAGTTGTTGTAAAAACATAGCATTTAGTTAAATCATCCTCAATGCCTTTTAATAGGAAAATAGCAACCACATAGGTTAATCAAAAATAAATCTTCAGTTTTTAATAGGAACAAACTATTTGATCAGGAAAACTAGGCTGAAAGGCAGGACCCAGAAACAGGAGCTCAGCCAGAGGGCCAAGCTGCACGACTTCAGGGGACCCTGGCCACCCAGGCAGCACCCCCTGCCTGGAGTTGTGCAGTGCGCAGCCTGCACAGCTGTATGTGGCCACCCCAGCTGAAGCTTCTACTCCCCCTTATCCAATCATCTAATGTGGATGAGACTCATCACCGTACCTCGATTTCTTTCTGTGCAAGATAATGACTTACTATAAGAACACACGTCCTCTCTGTGGTACAGGGACTTTGAGGGTGGTATCAACAGAGACACGTGAGTTTCCCACACACCCTTCTCAGTAAATCCAAGGGAGGCTCCTATCATGTCTGGATCACCTTTTTCATTTTTCTTATACACCAGCTGATGAAATCACAAGGTCTGATAAGCTGTCTCCTTAAAGATTTCACTTCTGGTTACGCAGCAGGTAGGCGGGCGCACTAAAACTCGTCTCTTTCCTTGCTGCGTAACACCGCCCAGTTTGGAAAATGCTGGAGGTGCCCATTATGGGTGCTTCAGTGTTAGGTGCGATCCCAGGGAAAGAAGAGCCTCCCCTCACTGTGTGAGCTCCACATGTTCTTTACAACTTATAATTTACATTTTTGGGGCTGGGCGTGAGACTTCTGGAGGAAGGGCCTACGTAGCATTTACACTGGGAAGGCTTTCATGAGACTAAGCCACTGTTTACAAAACCGTAGTTGTAAACGGCTGCTGGTAATCAGGGCTCAGAGCTACGGATTCCAGCAAAAACAGCAGGAGACACCCGAGTTCAGCCTGGCCTTCGTGAAGCAGCGCCGCAGGCACTCACAGGTCTCTGACAGATAGCGCCCAACATGTGCTGCTGGGTTCTGACCCCAGAGAGACCCACCGCGGCCAGCGGGTCAAAATCACAGCACTTTTGGCCAAAGAGCCGAATGTTCTCAGGCGGAGAGCTGCAAGAACCAGCGGAAGGGCACAGAGGAGCAGGGGACCTGTGGCGTCTGAGGTCCCTGCGGCCCAGAGGAGCAATCCAGCACCCGGATGGCCCATCCCTGTCATGTCGCCCTAGAATAGGTGCTGAGTGGGGCCTTAGTGTAAAATGCCCCCCTCTCGGTGAGTCTGGGCTTCACACGCATGCTGACGTCTACTCTGCGGTCGAGGCAAGTGTTGGGGAGGCAGGGGTGCATGAACACGGTCTGTGGGTGATGAGATGCACAAACGGGGTTCCCCAAAGCATTAAATGCAGAACTACCACGTGACCCAGCACCACCCCCCCCAGGCATATACTCAAAAGAACTGAAAAGAGGAACTCAAAAGCCGGTTCACAAGTGTTGACAGCATTACTATTTACAACTCACAATAGGTGGAAACCACCGAAGTGTCCAACAGTGGACTGGGCAAACTGTGGCCCATCCCTGCACCGGAATCCCAGCCACCGAAAGGAACGAAGCACAGACACGTGACAATGTGGGGGCCCGGAACACACCATGCTCAGTGAAGGAAGCCAAACACAAAAGGCCACACTCTGTGTGACTCCATTCCTACGAAATGTCCAGGACACGCAAATCTAAACACAGGTGCTGGCAGGGGCTGGGGAGGAGGATGGGGAGTGACTGCTAACGGCATGGGGTTTCCTTCTGGGGTGATGAAAATGCTTTTTGATTTGAGACACAGTCTTGCTGTCACCCAGGCTGGAGTGTAGCAGCTGGCTCACCGCAACCTCCACCTCCTGGGTTCAAGCAAATCTCCTGTGTCAGCCTCTCAAGTAGCTGGGACCACAGATGCTCACTACCACGCCTGGCTAATTTTTATATTTTTAGTAGAGACGGGGTTTCACCATGTTGGCCAGGCTGGTCTTGAACTCCTGGCCTCAGGTGATCTGCCCACTTCAGTCTCCAAAGTGCTGGGATGACAGGGCAACAGAGAGAGACTCCATCTCAACAAGAACAACAACAAAAAGTTACTGTTGGTCCACCGATGGCACAAAAATATTTCAGATTTCAGTAGGGGTGGCATGGCACAATACTGTGAGCACACTAAATGCCACTTTAAAACTTAATTTTATGTTATGTGACCTTCACCTCCATAATGAAAAAAAAAAAGATTCCTGGGTGGGCATCCTCCCCTCCCCAGCCACCTGCCACGCTCCACCTGGATAACTTTTGGGAAGATCCTTCTAATCTTTCCCTCTAACATGGAGAGAAAATGCCTTATTTGGCCTCCCTGCCGCGTGGCTACAAGTGATAAAACACAGTCAGAGGGGGACTCATTCTCCGTGAGGGGTCGGGAGACACGTATACAGTGGCACAGACGGCTTGAACGGGGATGAGTGAAGCCAACAGCGGGTGTGTGTGCTCGGGCTCAGTCGTCCATTTCTGTCAAAGGAAGATGAAGCCCATCTCTGCTGAAAGGCCGGCGCAGAGCACGAGGAGGCAGAGGAGAGACTGCCGGCAGCAACAGCTCCAGACTTTGGAGCGGTGCGCCCACCTCCCTTGCACAGAGAGAAAGCAACTCGGGCGGCTTCTGCAGAACACTAGCGTGGAGGTTTCCGGCCAGGAAAAGCACGTGGTGGCCTGGCTGGGTCACAGCCAACGATGAACGGTACAGGTTGGGGTGGGATAAGGAATGAGACAGATGAACCGCCCCTCGCATTTCTAAAAGGAATTTTTACACTTTGCCACTTATTTATACAAAAGAAAAAGCATGGGAATGATGGGAGCCAAATGGTTGTATCTGAGTTTTCCTCAATCCCTGTGTTGGAAGGCTCTGGGCACAGGCTGGGCAAAGGCCAGCATGGTGGAGGCGTCAGCGCCCTGGCACCTGCCCTCCCAGGGGCAGGCGGAAAGAGCTAGAGAGGAAAGGCCACAAGCTCACTCCCACTGCCACCTGAGAAAAAGCCTACGGTGCCGCTGAGCATGACAAGGAGCAGCCCAGAGGCGCCAGGCTGTGCCGATCCGGATTCCTTCTCCGGGAGTCATCCCTGGGGTCCAGCCCCTTTTCATTTTCCCTCAAGGTATTTTCTTCCCTCATTCAGGCCTCCCTCTTGGCTGCCACTCCGCCGCTCTAAGCGGTGCAGGGAGTTTTTGTGCGTGTGCACAAAAACGTTCGGTCCTTACGAAGTGCTCACATTTCTCCAGCCTTTTAACCTGCTGCAGACGGTCCCGCACCGGGAGGCTGTGGGGGGATGATTTCAATGCCAGGGGTAGTGGCGGGGGAAGGCAGTGCGGGGGTGGGAGGGGCACGTCTAGGAAATGAATGAACTCATGATCTGTGTCAGAAATGATTAACCAACGTTCACATCAAAGAATTCACAGACGGCTGGACCTCAGGAATGTCTGTGCAGAGCCGAAGGGCAGCAGCAAATGTTCTATGCTGTCATTTCTCAAGATGACGAGGTTCAGACCTGACCGGCCAACAACTGCCCCAGGAAATGTGGGCAAGACCCTGCGCCAGTTCTGGCAGGAAGACGACCAGCCCACCC